TGGCTTGTCTATTGCACCGTTAAACTGCTACGCGGTGAAAAATATATTATAATATGTTCGTACGTCATCCTGGGAGTTTCTGTGCGTGTCACCCAGTCGTGTGACGCAATCAATAAAGTAAATATAATCCTCTGTAAGAATATAATATCGTTGTAAATATCTGTAGTCTGTATAACACTGTATAGCATCAAATAAAACAACAAGTTATCCTGGCTCGCGGAATAATCAGTACGAGGTGGGATGGCTGTTCCACTTGCGGCGATTATTTGTAATTTCTCTCTTGTTTTCTTCTTTTGTTTAAGGAATATTCTCGCTTTACCTTACGACGAATAGGCACGGCACCTTTTGCGAGTTACAGTCCTTTAAGGACTATCGTTTCATTAATTATTTTAAGTCACTGTGAAAAGATTATATTATCGAGCGAACTGTGCTATGAGGATACGAGCACAAAAATAATCTCTTATTGCATCGCTTCGTTCAAAGTCTTTAGAGTAAAATTTACGTATTTTCCTTATAAATTTTTATTTTAATTACTAAATATTAACGTTAATATTCATTTATTATTAATAATACCATTAATATAATGATATTATTAATATTAATTATATCTATTATCTTATTCTTAACCAAAAAAAAAGTCTCGTGTTTCGTTTTATAACAAAAGTCGAAATGTAAAATTATAAAAAAGATATTAGGAACTACTGAACAAACTAGGAATGCAGCTCTCTCTCTCTCTATATATATATATATATATATATATGTATGTAGAATATCGATTTTTCCCGAAATAAAATTTTAATTGTTGATTCAAATTACGTTAACAAAATTTTTGTGCATCTAAACCACAAAAATACATAAAATAAATATATTATAATATATATTTTAAATGCATATACTGTTTTAAAAATAATATTTATATTTTAATAAATATGAATATTATTCAAAACATAATAAAAATTTTACATCTTTTAATACTGTCGCAATTATTTTATATATAATATTTATATTTTAATATATAATATAAATATTACATATTAATTTATTGATATACTATTTAAAAAATACTCATTGCACAAGTTATCATTATGCACAAAATAATAGCTGCACTTTCTAATCTATCATCTCTATATATGTAAATATAACTATAAATAATAAGAAATAAGATGATGTTATAAATGTAATAATAATACAAATAATAATAATAATAAACAGCACAAATTAAAAAATTTTATCATCATTCAATGATAAATTTCATTCTACCTATTAAAATATATAAAATTATATTAATGCTTAAATTATATGCTTTTACATTCTACTCTAAAGACTTGATTATCTATTATTGTATCTATATCTATTTTGAATAAACATAATATTTACAATTTTTGAATTGATGGTTTGCGTGAAAGAAAATTAAAGCAAAAATATGCTTATTTTATGCTTATTAAAAATAGAAATAAACAATTTCTAAATTTGAAAAAACTCTTAAAAAATAGTTAGTATTATGAAAAATTTTCAATGTGAAAAATTCTATAAAATTCTCGATTATTATAAATTGCTCTTCGCATCACAGCACAAACTCTTAATCTTTTCACTGCACCTTGGTCTTCTTTCGAAAGACTATATTAAACTCCATCTGGAGATTATCGTTGCCAGGAAATACTGGCTTTAAGCCTACTCAACCAAAAAACTATCACAAATGGGCCGAAGAAACTAAGGCGCATTAGTGGTATGCAGTATCAAATTGCATGATGCTGCTCTGAAAGTGCTTTGATTCGGCATTGGTCTGATTGACCTCATAAGCACCATCTTGGAATACTCTTGATTTGTTTTCCAGAGTTACTGTAGCTGTACCCTCTTCCATAGAAACTCTAGGCACAGGAAAAGGTTTAACATCTGTTTGTTGTGCCTGGATTTGTAGATGAGTTTGCGCTCCAGCTTGTTGTTGCGCTTTAGGTTGTTGTTGTTGGTAGATTTCTTCCTGGCGATGCCTGTCTGCCACGCTGAGCTCATGGAAACTGACCAGGTGGCGCTTCAGGTAGAGCTTGGTCTTGAATGGCTTGTTACAGAGGGGGCATGTGACACTCTGAGGGTTGTGGATCAGGCGCATGTGCTGACGCAGGTTCGACAAGTTACTGTACATGCGGTTGCAGACAGGACAGGGGCGTGGGTCCAGCGAGTGCAGTTTGCGTAGGTCAGCTGCAACACACACACAACTTGCTCTAACCCGGTAGAGGCAGCACGGAGAAGGGAATTAATTCTCTTGTTTTGTTTTATTGAATGGATTTATGGGTGGGGTCTCCGATTTGCCAGCCACCACCGGACAGCAACAACCAGCTAAGAAACCCTAGCCGCACGACTATTATATGCTCTACCGAATTTAGCAATGGGATTATTTTTAAAATTTCAAATAAATTATTACTATATATAATCTTTTATGTAATATAATTTGAAAACATCTTTTTCTTTATAATTCCTTATGTTTTTCATTATATAAATATTTATAAAAATTTCTCTAGAAAGAAAAAAATATTTTATTGAATCTAATAGAATCTTGATATTTACAATTATATTGTTCTCTTATATTTCAGATATACAAACTATTAATCAAATAAATATAATTTGAAATCTTAATAATATAATTTGATATCTTAATAATTTTAGGATTAAATTTTAAATTTTGGTAAATAATATATGGTTCAAAATTTTCTATGGTATAATAAAAAATTTTAACCTTAAAATAACCTTAAAATAATACTTCATATACAAAAACAAATTTTCCTTGATTCGTAATTATCTTCTAATATAATATAATATATCAATGGAATAAAATTTATTATTTTATAAAAAAAAAACAAATAAAATATGATCCCATTACTATTGTCGTGCATACAACGATATCGCGCGTTTATTAGCGCGCACACATCGGAGACAAATGGTAAGCGTGTGTTATTGGAACATGAGGCGTGAGAGCTCGCGCTGCATCCTCCGAGATTATTATACAATCGTTTCTTGACAATAACACCCTTTTACGTTTAAAAATATTCACTTAAAACATATAAGTTTCATTAATTTAAAATCTTATATTATTATTGTATTACATTATTTTGAAAGTATAAAAATAATAAATATAAATAACTTTTACGATTATATCATATATAAAACTTTTTCAATCTTGTTTATATTATAATCTATATTACAAACAATTTTTTATTAAAGTTTACAATAATAAAAATAAATAATATTTAATCATTTAAATTCGAATAGTTTAATTAAACTAATTATAATTAAATTATAATTAAAATAAAAAATAATAGAAATATATTATAATCATATATATTAAGAATTGATATTAAAATTTTAAAATTAACTGTTGAATTTTGTTAATCAATTATATATATATATATATATATATATATATATATATATATATATTATATATA